AAGACGATTTAAAAAATAATTGAATTAACCTTTGGTTAATTTACATTTGTAATGTGACATTAAACATTTTTTAAACCCATTTCAATTGCTAATGCGATTAATGCACCACCAATGACTACCCACAACTGCTGCTTTGTATCAGGTTAAATTTTTCCAACCAAAAAAAAAAAAGGGAAGGAATTCTCATTGCTGTTTGATAATGATCGACAAAAGCTATAGCAAATCGTTCTATATTTGCATGTTGTCTATATTAAACGTCTTGGGGTTATCCTTCTCTAAGATATTCATTCATTCATACGTTCAATGTATGCCTTAATTTTGTTTTCGATTAACATTTATGATTATTCATTCATTTCAAAGTTGTTATTACTACGAACGAAATGACTCATTAAAAAAACTAAACGGATGGATTTTATCTTGAAATATTGAGCAATGTGGCACCATAGAACAGTGGGTAATATTAATGCGATTTATATTCAAAATAAAAGGAAAAAGGGGGGAATGGAATTTCAATTGAAAAAGGGGAAAATATGGAAATTATATATACAAAATCTATTGGAAATTAAATACAAGTATTTTTTAAAAAGTTATAATAAAAATTTAGTCAGAAAGGTAAAACAAATAAGAGGAAATTATTTATTACAAAAAATATCAGCAATTTTTATTTTACAAATATATAGTAAAATGTACCAAAAAATTCAATTTGAAAAATGGAAATAACTAAGTAAATTATACATAAAAACTATTGAAATATATATTCCAAATTTTCAGTAAATGTACAGAAAAATCGAAGGAGGGAGGACATCTCGTATATTGAATATATACGATTTCTAACTCCACAGTCATATTTGTAACTCTGCCATTAGTTAGATTCTTTTAGATCACTGTCAGTCATCTGTATGACGGAACCACTTGTTCGCTTAGAACGCATCTCCCTCTAAATCATTCACGAACATCTAAGTTATAAATTATAAGACAAAGAACAAAAAAAGCTTGAAATGAAATTAATTGAAAATGCAAACCAAAAGTCGTCGTAATAGTGTCATATTAAAATGTGTGTCACATAAAAACGGTATAAACATTTCAATTGCTCATAATTTCTGAGAAGGTAATAGAATAGACACCAGCACGAAGTACAATAGTGTAAATTTATTGTCATAGTAGAATGATTGAAGTGGAAAAAAATTGGAAAATAATGGGCGGAGTTCTTTGAAATACACAAAGCGGGAAGAAAAGTTTTTCATTATCTGAGTCGGATTATGCTGACCGTTGGTCTGACTATGTATTTTTGCAGGCATATTACACGTAGCATGTGTAAAAGTTGCTTAAGATCTGTGAATGCTTCAAATTTGAATATAACTCCAATATATATATCTTTATCGATTTCACGTTTATTTATGCGCTGAATGCATAAAATTAGTCAAATAGAATAGATTTAAAAAAAAAACTGCAACAAAGTCAAACGACATAATTTTTACATTTTTTTTAATTTTATGTCGGAAATAGCATCAAATTTTAGAATAAGTTTAGATTTGTTCGAATTGGTCGCCTTTGGCACGAATTATGGCCTTCAAACGCCCAATGAAACCGTCACACGCTGCCCGAATGTTGCTCTGCGGTATTTTGGCCCATTCCCAGCAAAGCGCTTGCTTGAGGTGATCAACACTTTGGTATTTTTTAGTGCCAACCTTGCTTTCCAAAATACTCCAGACACAATAGTCCAACGGATTGGTATCCGGAGATTTTAGTGGCCATTGTGCGCTGGAAATGAAACGAGGAACCTCATTTTGTAACCATTGTTGAGTGGCGCGTGCTGAGTGCTATGGTGCTGAGTCCTGTTGGGAATGTCAAAGGTCTGCGACCAAAATGTTTGCGTGCCCAAGGCTTTAAACACCCTTCAGAATATTTTAGCGATAATATTCGACATTTATTCTGATGTCACGGTCGATTAATACGAGCGGAGAGTGAATATCGGCTGTTATGGCGGCCCTCATCATCACCATGGCCGACGCTTGAGTTCTGGTGGCCAATCGAAGGTGCATATTTTCACCTGACCTCTTTGGCAAATAAACACGATCATTTTGTTTGTTTACAAACTGCTGGACAACGAATGTTTTCTCATCGGAGAAAACCAAATTCGGCACTTCACCACTTTCGGCCAAGCGAAGCAACTCTTTAGCTCTTTTGAGTCTGTTTTCTTCCTGTTGCGGTGTAAGTTTAAGAGTACATCCCAATCTGCACTCGACAGTGTACTCAACTGAAAAACCCTTAAGTCTTTTTGTAGAGTAGCCGGCTGGTAGATGTGCCCTGCGGCTCAATGAACTAGGTCAATGGCGCAGTCAGTCCTTTGGACACTCTGTCATTCTTAAGTTTGCGGAGAACATAGGAATTCGGGCCATAACCAGTGATTATATATCACCTAGGCAAAGTTTGGAATCACTGGAAATCTATATACCCAACAGGGACACCTGGACACGGAACACTCCACCTTTTAACGGTATAGCTGTCCATCTTTCCATCTTTGAACCATCGGTATGTTCAAAGATGGAAAGTGAAATGGAAGCTGGGATCCTCTTTGAATACCTGAATATCCGGAGATCTGTTAAATTAAGCAACGAGTGCAGTGTTTTTCAGGCAGAAATCTTTGCTATCAGGAAAGTCAAGGAGCTGCAGGAAAAAAAATCAATGAGCTGGATGGACCGGTGACTATATATGTCGATAGTCAGGCGGCCTTTAATGCTCTTAATGCTTCTCACAATCAAATCTCTGGCTGTTCTGGAATGCAGAAATGCTCTGGAAAATTTTAAGTCGTTTGTCAAACTTTGTTGGGTCTATGGTCATTGTAACATAACGGTGACTATATATGTCGATAGTCAAGCGGCACTGAAGGCCTTAAGTTCCTTTACTATCAAGTCTGGGCTGTTTTGAACTGCAGGGAAGCCTTGCTGTTTTGAACTGCAGGGACATCCCAGGTAACGAGACTGCAGACGAAATGCCCAGACTAGGATCCGAATCAACTAAGTACACAATTGAAGTACACAACTCGGTTAAACCACCACTGTGCCATTTCCTACAGGTGATTCACAGATATTACTGGACAAATGGCAAATGGACAAAAATGGCTGGACGAAATGAAATGCACCATCTCCAAAAGAATCTGGCCCACACTCTTAGAGAAGAGAACAAGGCCGCTGATGTCATTGTCAAAACCTGATTTAAAACTTGTCGTGGGTATTATCACAGGTCATTGTAAGGTGAGGGCTATGACCTCGAAATGGGACAGCGACGACATTGACTACTGTAGGATCTGTCAATATGAAGAAGAAATCGAGACTGCCGAACACTTGCTCTGCCACTGCCCAGCACTCATTAATGAGAGACACAGGCTAGTGGGAGAACTAGTGTCACATGATCTGTCTTCTTTTTCTAACACTGACCCTATAGTAATCCTTCAATTAGCCAGAAGATTCAAGTGGCTAAAGGCGACACGGCAAACTCCTCAGCCGTAGATCACACTCTACAACCTTATCTCTTATCTACCAACCACTTTTTCCTCTTTTCTTAACATTCTTCTGGGATGAACACAATGGACTTATAGGTCTCCGAGTGGAGCGGTTGCCATATGGTAACCGCGCGTCCTTTAACCTAACCTAACATAACTGGCAATGAAACAGCAGATGAAATGGTACTGGAAACAGTAGATCTAGAGATCGACAGCTCATAGAAGCCACCATTATGTCACTTCTTCCAAGTATTACACAAGCACTACCTTGGGAAATTCAATCAGAACTGGCTTATTGGAAGGGGATGTAATGTCTCTTCTTTACAATAAAATTTGATCTTCATACTCAGCTACAAGTCTTAATAATAAATTTTAGTATTGTCTTATTTATATTTTAATATTAGTTATTCGTAGCGCAGCATTCTTTTCTTTACAAAAGCGTGGATCTTTATTCTGTTTGATGATATGGAGTGGGAGTAGTTGTTTTAAAACCAATTTTTCAAACTTCTACAAATTCGTTTGGAATTTTAAATATTTGTTGTTAAAATCAAAAACTCGGACACTGTTTTTGGTTTTCTTCCTCTTCATTTTTTCGCCTTTGCCTTCCTTTTTTTTTAAAACAATACTCTCAATTATGGTCATACAACTACTAGTTGTCGTCTGCGAACATACATACATATACGTTGGTGATGATGTCGATGATGCGTCTTGCGATGATATTCTTAAGACCTGCTCTTGTTTTGATTTCCATACCAAGCACAAATTGAAAAGCGCACGTACGCATAGGCATTCACTGCCGCCTCAGTCATTCAAAAAATAAAGATAACAAGAAGAAACAGCTTGATAGGAGAATGAGGAAAATCATTACAATCATTACATTTGAGTTTGCCAGTGAAACGTCATTTACACTTGAGTTTTGCTTTGACGTTCTTCGGTGGCAGCTAGGGAAGTAAGCTTGTTGTAGCAGTTTACAACAGAGTGCCCACCACAACCAATGCACTATTGCATACGCAGTGTGGCCACAAAAGCCGCCACCAAAAGAACCATAACCACATGTGGGGAATACATACAACGCAGACGAACCAATACTCATTCTTCCACCAAACAGCACTTTACTCTCATACTCGCTCGCTCGCTCGCCACAAGTAAGCAATTCTTCTGCGATGACGATATACATTTGAAGTGGCATCACGTTTCTTTGCATTTTTCATATTTGTTCGAACAGCAGTCGTGTGTGTGTGTAAGGGGGAACTGCATTTAAACGGCAGCAGCAACAACAACTGCAAAGCACGGGTGTGTCTCCATCATCACCTGCCTGGGTTTCCGTACGAGCAGTAGAAATTGATATTGCTATTTGCATTGTGCCATGAAGGTGCATACCACCCAACACATTTTTTTCTCTCCACCTCCCTCCCTCCCTCCCTCCCTCCCTCCCTCCCTCTCTTCTAAGCCCCACACCATGAATTCTCATAATTTTTCTTAATTTCTTTCTTTGCAGTTTTCCAGCATTGAAACTCCCGGCTATGTGGGTTTTGCCAATCTACCCAATCAGGTGCACCGCAAATCAGTGAAAAAAGGCTTTGAATTCACTCTTATGGTTGTGGGCGAATCTGGTTTGGGCAAGTCAACACTGGTCAACAGTTTGTTTCTCACAGATCTATATCCGGAACGCATTATACCCGATGCCGTGGAGAAACAAAAGCAAACCGTCAAATTGGAGGCCTCCACTGTGGAGATTGAGGAACGTGGTGTCAAATTGCGTTTAACGGTTGTGGACACACCCGGTTTCGGTGATGCCATCGATAACTCGGATAGTTTTAGTGCCATTTTGGAATACATCGATGAACAGTATGAACGTTTCCTGCGCGATGAAAGTGGTTTGAATCGTCGCAATATTGTCGACAATCGCATACATTGTTGTTTTTATTTTATATCACCATTTGGCCATGGGTAAGTGGAATAGTAGTAATACGCAATAGGCATATGTATGATATACCATTTATTGTTGTTGTTTTTGTATTTCAGTTTGAAACCCCTCGATGTGGAATTCATGAAAAAACTGCATTCCAAAGTCAATATTGTGCCTGTGATTGCCAAAGCCGATTGCCTTACGAAAAAGGAAATTCTGCGTTTAAAGTGTCGCATTATGCAAGAAATTGAAGACCATGGCATCAAAATCTATCCCTTGCCCGATTGTGACTCCGACGAGGATGAAGACTACAAGGAACAGGTGAAACAATTAAAAGCAGCAGTGCCATTTGCCGTCTGCGGTGCCAATACTTTACTGGAGGTGAAGGGTAAAAAAGTTCGAGGACGTTTATATCCCTGGGGTGTTGTTGAAGTGGAAAATCCCGAACACTGCGATTTTATTAAGCTGAGGACCATGCTGATGTAAGTATAATGTTAATGCAAGGCATTTGTAGAAATAAGTTGTTGGGGGACAAGAGTTGGAAATGTTCATCATTACGTTGTATGATTTGCCATAAAAATGTATCCAATAAAGAAGAAGTTTGTTTGAAATTATGAAATTTCATCATATTTTGGATCATGATAATTGGTTGTGAATTGAAGAAAGACATGAAACAGGATTAGTCTGCCAGACATTCTAAAGATTGATATTTAAAACGGGATCATAAATCCTCTCAAAATCGAAAAGGAATTATAATGGATATGTTTTGGTACATCTATATATTTATTTCAAACTTTTTCCTAGTAATTCAGGGATTTCGAAACATTAATATCGTAATTTGAGAATTCCATTTTTGGTCCAATATATTCATTCATTTCGCTTGAATGCAAAAATTATAATATTTTGTTTCGAATTTCGAAAGGAAAAATTCGAAATTTAAGTGAGATAATTTAAATTTCTGATAAAACATTTTGATAAAAATAAAAAATTGAAGTTCAGTACAAATAGTTCAGATGAAATGTAACGAGCTAGAAATTTCAATTGATTGACAAATTGAATTTTCAAATTATAATTAAAATGTTTCGACCTACTCCATAAAATGTTGTGGTTGTTTTTTGGTATCTAGTCTAGTGTTTTGTAACATTCCTCCAAATTATCCTCTCACTGAAGAAAATGTATCTTTAAATTATGTGGAATTTCGTCTGAATGTCATATTATGGCTGTCTGATGAATTAGGTCAAGGCGGTTTCGAGTCGATTTATCAATCAACAAGTTATCATGTCAGCTGCTTCAACAAATATCTAATCGAAGAAGCTGGAAGGAGATGACACTTGGAAACCGGTTGCAGGGAATCTAAGACCAACTGGCCGGTAATCTCGAGAAGAAGATCAAGCTCTCCTCTGTCACTTGGGATGTCTGATCTAAGAACTGCGGCTTGAATATGGGATAATAGCATTCCTGACTGCCGTAGACTACGTGAAAACGAAAACGTGGTAGAGAGATTGTACACCTGTCCATCAAAAGACGTAGACTATTTGGCAGGTGGGAAATAGAAATTCTAATTTTCTTTTCAAACATAGATATCATTATCATCTACAAGTCTTTTAGTTCGTTGGCTTGGCAGACCACCCTTCTAAACATACCACTCTCTATAAATCCTTTCGTTTATTTCTCATTTTTATACCCTCAACCTTGGAAAGGAGGATATATTAACTTTGTCATTCCGCTTATAACATCCCTAAATATTCGTCGCAGACCCCATAAAGTATATATATATATTCATAATCAGAATAAAATTCGAAGTCGATTTAACGATGTCTGTCTGTCTGTTGAAATCACGATACAGCCAACATTATGTGAAATAAGGTGTAAAAAATTTTGCAGAGCAAATTGTATTGTGTCTAGGATTGTTGGTATTGAAAATTATATATATCGGTCTACGTTTTGGTATAGCCTCCATATAACGGTTCCTCCCGATATTCGGTACTTTAATGGTTTTTGCCACATTTTTTCACTGATTTGTCTGAAAAAGGCTATTTTTAGGTTATAACGGGCCCTAGTTCGTGTGGCGAAAAATTGTATGTATAGGTCCACGTTTTAGTATAGCCCCCTATAAAACGTTCCTCCCGATTTTCGGTATTTGATGATTTTTGCCACATTTTTTCGGATTTGTCTAAAAATTGGTATTTGTTGGTCATAATGGGTTCTAGCTCCGGTGGCGAACCTGCATGTATAGGTCCACGATTTCTGTTTTTTCACAGATTTGTCTAAAAGTTGGTATTTTTGGTCATAATGGGTTCTAGCTCCGGCGGCGAAACATTGTATGTATAGGTCCACTTTTTGGTATAGCTCTCATATAACGGTACCTCCCGATATTCGGTATTTTGATTATTTTTGCCACATTTCTTCGCGGAATTGTCTACAAATTGGTATTTGAATCGTAGGGTCGTAGCCCATTTGGCGAAATATTTTTGTGTGTATATGTCCACGTTTTTATATAGCCCCATATAGCGGTATTTCCCGATATTTGGTATTTTGATGATTTTTGGCACATTTTCCCATGAATAAACAAACCAAACAAATGGTAGGCATGCTTTTGGAGATGCACAAAGTGATACACCCAATCAGCAGCTGAAGTTTACAGACCACTGTGGCTTTGTTTAGTTTACTACAGTCTTGTCCAAAAAAAACGTAGAGAAAAGTTTCTTATCTATTAGTGGCTTTTACAACTGAGTGTTCCGATTGAAGCATGTTCCAAATGTTACAAAATGGCATGGTGGACTTATATTTTCCACTATCTTAATCGTATTGATTTTGATGACATATTAAATAATCTAAAACCACCTTGATATGATTTTTAATAATTGTTTTTCTTTTTTGTTTTAAGCACCCACATGCAAGACCTACAAGAGGTTACCCAGGAAGTACACTATGAGAACTATCGTTCCGATCGTTTAGCCAAGGGCATTAAAAACAAAGAAAATGGCATAATTAAACCTGAACGTGACTCTATTGTGCCCACACAAATTGTTCTAACTGAAAAGGACCGGATACTGCAGGAAAAGGAAGCTGAACTGAGACGCATGCAGGAAATGTTGGCACAAATGCAAGCCAAAATGCAAGCGCAACAATAAGTCTTTAGTTTTCCCATCTACTACCACCACACCCCCACATGTGAAGACTAACAAACAAAACACTGACAGACAGACAGACCGACCGACACATACACAAAACACAGTTTTATATCTTTTAGGCATAGAGACATTTTTATTATAATTTAACACAAAAATGAATGGTGCCGAATTTCAAATTATTCTTCTTTTCTCTTAAATATATATGTATGTATGTAGAATATTTTACGTTTCTCTTTGTTTTGTGTACGCGTTTTCATTTCTTTTATGGGCAAAAATTTGTCCTATAAAACATCAGAACTCAAAAGAAAATATTTGAAATTCCAAAGCGTTACAAATATCTCTCCATAATGATTATTATTAAAATGAAACATTATTTATGTAAGTATTATTGAAATAACATCAAAAGAAAAAAAGAATATAAGCACTTTAAAGTGTAGATTTAAACGACACTACTTCCAATCGAAACCAAGAACACAAAGAGGTACGGAAAACATTAATTGAATTAAAAATTTAATATTTTTTGGAGATACTCGATTAAGTTTTCATCTATAACTCGTTAGCTTCAGGCATAGGCTGATGTTAGAAATGTTTTCAATTATCCTATTTAGTTGTTCCGAACTGAATTTTGCGGTGAGCCATTGTAGCTTTGATTTACTCATTCTTAGCAGCGATTATGACCTTCTCGGGATATATCCTCCAAAATTATATTGAACTATCACGACTCTCTCCTTGAAGAACAATTATTTGACTCTATTCAAATTACGAAAAAGGGCTTTGTGGCCCTTTTTCGTCCGTCGCCATGGTCAGATTCTGTTTATCAGAATCATCCGGTGCTTTCTTCTTAGATTCGTTTGAATATCAGACAAGATTGATCATTCGTAGAAAAAGATATCTCAATGTTGTCAAACAGCTTGATCGATAAGATATGGCGGTTTATACCAATGACAGGCAGCTTCCAGTTCTATGATTAATGACCCAACCAGACTATTTTAGAAGAGTTGAGTGTCCAGTTCTTACCTATTGAATTCTTGCAGAAGTAAAGTGCAATAAACCCCTCTTGGGTTCTTCTTGAGCGTTCTTACTCCTCCAGAATAATTCCTAAATTTTTAAGTCACTATATGCAGGATCAGTGTAATAAATTGATGTAACTTATATTTTTTGCAGACATTACGTATTTGACCCACAAGTGTTGCTGTTCGCCCATCAAGTTTTTACAAAATTTTTAAGAATAGATTAAAATTCCGATCTCTTGAAGTTTTAAATTTTATTCTCACCATATTTGAATGATAATTGGCGATTTGTTTTCCATACTAAAATGTTGCCTTCGTTGTTCTTCATTTCAATTGGAAGTTGTTTAGTTGTTGTTTTATTATTTTCCTTTCCTTTGAAAACACCGACTCAAGGCCAGACTCTCACACCCTCCTTACACAACAACAAATACATACCACAATCACACACACCTACAATATAAATTCTAACAATTTATAGTGCATATTTTTAGGCGTAACTAGGTGACGCATATAAAGAATCACCTAACACCATAAAAAAATGAAAGAAAATAACAAATAATGAGGAACTGAAACAAATCGAAATTCTTGTTTGTTGAACAATTGTTATATTAGATTTAACACACAATATACACACACAAACTAAAAACTTCTCACAACTAACAATTGAGACGTAGAAAACATTTAATTTCTCATCGACCTCAGACTTTTCTGTAACACGTCCTAAACCCAATTCCTATCAGAGTTAAACTAATTAAATTATATATATGTATGCTGCTCAACCTACAATCAAAGTAATAAAAACTGGAATTCGATTAAGAAAACAAAAACTTGTATACAACATTGTTTGTTTAAACAGAGAAGATTAAATTTTTAAGAATAACTTTTGGACTTTGAAAAGAGGGACATTTTTTACTCGTTTCCTGTAGCTAGAGTCTAATTGTTTGCAACAAATGATGCTTAATACAAAATTAAACGAAAAATTGGCCCAATTTATAACTCATAGTTATAACATAACCTAAAAAATAATTGACTTTAAGCATCAATTTTATGCAATCTCTTTGTATTATAGAAAAACCAAAATTATATTTCACCAAACTATCAATTTGGCATAATTATATGCATAATTTTTTGTTTTATTTGCTATAAGCTTTTATAATTCTAAGCTATGTTTATCAACAAAAAATCTCTTAACTTTTTACATATTAAGTACTCTAAATTTGGCTTTTAATTATTTTCGTAAAAAAAGTCAACATATTTTATTGTCTTTTGGTAAAATTTATTTTATTATTTTTTTTCTCTCATATAACATTAATATACCTGTAATAATTATATCTTATATACATACCAAAACATATATACAATGTCTTCGTATATAGGTAACTATCATCCTTTTAATATACATCAACAACAACAACAATACCCATATATGCTAATAATCTTTATATATTGATAAAATATTTAAGATTTCTTTCTTATATATAAAAATTAATTAAAACAATTAAATTCTTATAGTTACTTAAATGAAAAACAACAACAACAAAAACAATGAGAACAAATTATATATTAAATATATGCGCTTTTTTATACATATAATTAAAAGCTGAAGGAGTTTTATTTTCTCAAGGGGGCTCCTGCAGAATCGCATGAAAAAAAATCTTCAGCAGCGACGGAAAGGGGGTTGGACACGTAGGATGACATTCACGATGTATTAGTTACTAATATCGATGACTGCATCAATATGAATACTACTCAAACACGCCAGATATGATTCTTAATAGGCCCTCTTTTATATCGTTGGGCCATCACCTCTTGATCGCGTTGGTCCTTCCTACACGAATGAGTCAACGAATCCTATCCATATGATTGTTCTAATTGATTTTTGCGGTAATAAACAGGCACTACAACGACAGCATGCCATTTGGGGGCTGTAGTGATCATTTATTTTATTGGTTGAGTTTTAAATCGTGTAGCCTTATCTATGTTGAAACAGTAAGTATTCGGGGGTGAAATTCTCCCATTCGATATGGAAAAAATTCGATCCAAATGAGTTTTACAGGGTGAGTTTAAAAAACTGGAAAAAATTCAAACGCCATAATTTTTATATATTTTTTTTAATTTTATTGAATGAACGCAAAAAATGTCGGAAATAGCTTCAAATTTTAGAATACGTTTAGATTTGTTCGAATTGGTAACCTTTGGCACGAATTATGGCCTTCAAACGGCCAATGAAACCGTCACACGCTGCCCGACCGTTGACCTGCGGTATTTTGGCCCATTCCCGGCGAAGCGCTTGCTGGAGGCGATCGACACTTTGGTATTTTTTAGTGCCAACCTTGTTTTCCAAAATACTCCAGACACAACAGTCCAACGGATTGGTATCCGGAGATTTTGGTGTCATTGTGCGTTGGAAATTAAGCGAGGAACCTCATTTTGTAACCATTCTTGGGTGATGCGTGCTGAGTGCGATGGTGTTGAGTCCTGTTGGGAATGTCCAAGGTCTGCGGCCAAAATGTTTGCGTGCCCAAGGCTTTGATACACCCTCCAGAATATTTTCGCGATAACATTCGACATTTATTCTGATGCCATGGCTTTACCCCGAGTTCATTTTTCAATATTTGCCGTACGGAATATTGCGATATGTTCAGCTCACTAGAAATTTTTCGGCCACTGCGACGAGGGTTTCGATCGCTTCTTTACTTTTCTAACCATTTCTGCTGATGTTGCTGTTTTCTTCCGTCCACTTCCTTGACGTCGGGCTACGCTACAAGTATCACGGTAACGAGCGATGGTACGAGACACAAAAGTTTTATTTAAAACGAATAAGCTTACTGCACATATCCCACCGATCAATAGCTGTGAACCGCGTTATTTGCCTGCTGTTGGTAGGCAATAACCGCCTGGTACTAGGCGATTTAGTGCCGTCCTAGGTAGTAACCAGAGAAGCTCTGTGCTGGCCGAGCAGTTTGAGCACTCTATATTCTGCATTGTAAACGAGGATGCCTCCGCCCGAATAAGAGGATAGTGTCACAGTTCGCTAGACCATATTGTCACCCGGTCTAATTAACGGCGTGACTGGCAACCCGTAATTTCTCTTGGATCAGACCATCTACTGATATCCATAAGTATATCGATCGAATGTATAACCTCTGAAAGCCACACTTTCCTTAACCGTGGGAAAGCTCAAGGGCCTGAATTCAGAGAATTCACTAAACTTCGCTTCAGAGAACTTCCCAACCTTTCTGATGTACGGGTAACGGCAACCCGTAATTTCTCATGTATCAGACCATCTACTGATCTCCATAAGTAGACCGACCGAATTTATAACCTCTGAACGCCACACTTTCTTCAACTATGAGAAAGCCCAGGGCCTGAATTCAGAGAACCCACTAAACTTCACTTCAGGAAACTGCCCAACCTTACATCATCAAAGCTGCAGCCGCTCGCCATATACCTGCTTGCCAAATATCAGAAACACGACCAAATTTCCCTGCAGAGGTAGCGTAATGATTTCCATCACCACAGTTTACAATGGGTGACGTTGTAAATGTCATCCGAAACGCTAAGTTATCCAAATCGTTGGTCCCAGACGGAATCTCAATGGTAATGTTGAAACAACTGGATATGCCGGGAGTTGAGTACCTTGCAAAAGCTCTCAACCTGTCGCTAGCGACCCACATTGTTCCTTAAGCGTGAAAAAAGCGCTGGTGGTCTCGCGCGCTTTTGAAGCCAGGCGAGAAAGCGTGCAAAGGTGAATCATACAGGATAATTTTGTTTTTGCCACAAGTAGCAAGACTATTGTGACTTCACTCCTACCCAGTGTTAGAGAAAGCCAACAGTTGCCAACCACCAACACGGATTTCGTCCACAAAAGCATTGCACGCCATATCTACACATATCAGTTGAGGATTAAAGCAGAACACGCCGTGTCAGAGAACAGTGTTGGAACCCCTTAACCTATGTGGAATTCCGTAACAAGATGTCCAAACCCCAAAGAGTGAAACAGGGAGTTCCCCAAGGTGAGTGATATCTCTCGTAACGTGATGAACTACCCCAAGATCCCAGGAGTCACACTCGATAGCATGTTCAAGTCGTCCGCGCAAGCCACAGCTATCTGCGACAGAATGAAAAGTAGAAACAAGGTCCTCAAGGCGTTAACCCGCAGCGTTTGGGGTGTGGACAAGGAGACCTTTTATAACGCGATAGGTCCGTCTCTGATCAGCTATGCGGCCCGGTGTGGTCTGCAAATATAAGTGCCACGCAGTGGAAGAATTCTGCCCTTGGAACTACCTCCTTATGACACCAGTGGATCATCTACAAGAGGAGGCGAATGTCGTTCCCGTACGTCAGCATAATCATATGATTTCATTGCAGTACCAGCTTGGGTTTTATCGTGGGAGTTATCCAAACCAACATATTTTGGATAAATATCGAAGAATGTAATCTATCTGTCTATCTCGATAAATACCACACTTCAATGCATAGGTTACTAAATTGTCTTTTTTCTAACAATTAAAATGTGCATAGAACATGAAAGAACTACATACCTACAAATGCACAGGTATGGTAAATTATTTCAATGATGATTTTTTCCCAAGAAGCGTTGTTGCAGAGTATTTATTAAATTTAATTTTTTGTATAATTTATGACAAAGCTTTCAGGACAATAATTGTTGTATTTAAGTCTAGTTATGTACAGGTTACATTTGATTTGCTTATCTGCATATTATGTATATTATAGTACGTGTTTTAGAAACGATCATTACCTTGGAGTATTTTTAAGGAGACGTGATATGGATTCTACAAACCAATCTGGCAGGAAGGAATGTTCTGTTTTGCCCGGTAGACAAACATAATTGATCTGGCCAGTCCTAGAGTTAAAATAAAATTCGTAAACTGTGTAGGGACAGTTGAGATTCGCCGTTAAAGCCTTGAGGCGGCACAAAAATTGGCTCAGGAAATTCGCACAAACCGAAGGTGACCAATGGTTTTGCTAATGAAAATGAAATTTATTATTTTATATCTATCGTTATATAACACATACCGCTCCATTTTTCGGTAAAGATCTGGTTTCCACGTGTTCCAAACTTCTTACAAATCCCTTATCGTTTCGTATACCAACGTAGAGATCTTCAATTCCAACCAAAAATGATTGACACCACCAATTCCTTGATTTGAATTTTAAGAAATTTATGCGCTGACCTTGACCTTGGCGAGTTTTTAGCTCAACAAACTTTAAATTCTCGATCACAGGTTTGTCGTAGTTTCTAAAGAACAGAAAAGATTTTAGATCAATCTTTTAATTTTAGACATTTTTAACACTTACAATTGTACCGGTTGTTCACTTATAATGCCATCCATTTCAGCCCCGTACAGCAAATTCATACCAGCTAAACGTGTGTGGAACACAAGGGAAAATTCTTCGGACTCATTAACCGGAGAACTTGTATCCGGCTCTCGAAACGGTGAATCGGACAAACAGTATTGTTCAAATTTAAAACCCCAAGAACAACAGTTCTTTACAAATTGACTTTCTTGGGATCTCTCATAACGTTTTTGTTCTGTCTCCCGTTCCACCAGGTAAATTGTATTCTTAAAGCGAGTTACATGAATACACCAATCGTTCCGATGTTCATATGGTGTACACATCAACAGTCGCAGAAGACCGCGATACGATACAAATTCTGGGGCTGGTGAATTTACAAAAATTCTTTGTTGGTGATCATACAAAAATCTTAATAAATGATCGAGCAGTTCATTTCTGACTGACTCGGGTTTATGTATAACTCGATTGAGACCAGCATTCAGATCCAATGGAAAGGTTTCTGGGGCAGGAGATTTGTAATATTTCAATTGCGCATCGCTAGGTTCGAACATTCGATCCCCATCAATGCTGAAAAATCCAATAGGTAGGGGTTTCTTAATATCAGGAAAAGCTATTTCACTTTCTGGCGGTCTTATCCATGACAAACCAATATCCTTTGCAGCATTCAAGCCGTTCATTTTCTACAAAGAAATAAGGATGGAAAGGTAGAAGTATTTGAAAGAATTACACAGATTGTTCTGTCCAAAGGTAAGTAACTTACTACACTTCAACGGATTCAATTGATTCTTGATCCACAGAGCGCTATTTCTAGGCAGAGGGCGAAGCCGATGTGAAATTCTCGGCGGCGGCGGCTAAAAGTCGGCTGCAGCCGACGACTTTAACGTGAACAAATAATTTCGGTTGTTTTAATAACTGTCAATTCATTTAATTTAAAATAAAAATGAATATATAAGTTTATATGCACATTTGTTGCTTATAGCACATTAAAAATTATAATAAAAAAATACTTTAATTTGATAAAAATGGTTCGACGACCGCCTTGTTATCGTGAACAAACAATTGTTTCTTTACTGTTGCCGGATGCAGGCTGCTTCTCTTTGCATTTACACAATTCCCGGCATATGAAAATGCTTGCTCTGAAGATGTAAATGAAGAAGTAAATGGTCAAAACGTAACATGCTTAAAACAAGTTTAAGATGTGAATCTTTAACGTACTTGTTTGTTCTGTCGCCACCAATCTAGAGGCTCAACCGCCTCGACTTTCATTTCCAAATATTTTCTTATTTCTAACTCTACGTTATCTTGTACATTAGAAGAATCAACAGATTCGTCTGAATCGGATTCTGATTTACTCAAAACTGTATGACCCTTTCGGTCAGCGGAAAAATAATTTTTAATATTCCTTTGGCACATTTTGCATTATTTTCCTTGAACAAGCAAAAACACAACGAATCTTTGGCAAACAATATGGTTGCCACTCCATTAAAATTCGTAAGTTACAAAAGGTTGCCAAAGGTTTTGTGATAAAAAAAAACAAATCTACAAAGACATAATACCCTTACCACTATGTGGTGTAATATAAATAGCCTACACGTTTTTGCCTCTCGAAGACGAGTGCGCAATGTAAATTATCGTCCAATAATGAGCATTATAATATGTTAATTTATCGATAAGATTAAAAGACATATTTATACAAATTTGCTGTATAAATTTATATTTTTCAACGGCTTAGCCGACTCAGTCGGCTAAAAATTTGAGCCGATGAGAGCCGCATACATCAGCGGCGGCTCAGATCACTTAAAAAAAGTCGGCGGCGGCTGCACGCCGACTGCGAGCCGATCGGCTTCGTGCTCTGTTTCCAGGCTAAAAACAGTGAGAGGACGGAGAGGGCCTGATAAAAACAAGGATTCAAAACAAAAACCAAAGGAACGACCTATGTAGGGTCTAACAGGTTGAAATCTAAACAACTTTTCACCTAAAACTGATAACATATATGCGTAAACCGGCATTTCGCTTATCGATAACATCGTCCCTTATTATGCCACGTTCTCACGGCAATTTGAAAATGTTGCTCGTTCTAATAAATGTCAATTATGCTATAATAGCGCGTTTATATTCAATTTTTATCTGAATCGGGATTGATCGACAAAATCGATCAGTATATGAAATTAGCTTTAATAATAATGGAAGAAATTATTGTTTTTCTCCAAAGATTTATTTTACCTTTCATTTAAGAATTTTCATTCGTTTTTTGAATTTTTTGTATAAATGTTGACATTCTACAAATACTTTTGTATTTTTCTGTTTTCAAACTTGGCTGGAGAGTCAGTTATCAAAAAAATTGTAGTCGAAACAAAAATTTTAAAGAGACAAAAAGCGTACCTCGGATGAGAGAGAAAACCAAATTTACTTTCGTTCGAATGCACATACACCACTCAAAATTATAAATTTAGTTCGTAGTTATCAGTCTTCCTGAAAATTTTTAAAATTTCATTAAATTTTTCTATTTTAAATTTTAAAATGTCAAACTTTATTTTTTTAGGAGTATTTACCATTTGTTAGAAATGGCACATATTTCATAGTAGTTCTGAGAGTGATTTGAATGGAAGAAACAACAAAAATCTTTGTTCGCTCAGCAAATTTTATGTGGGGAATTAAGAAGATGTGTAATAATTAAACAAATCAAGTGTCAAGTGGCATGTGAACTTAACATTACCATTACATAGTTACAAGGTAGAAGAATACAGGTAGTCGTATGAATGAAAAATTATTGAAATTATTGAAAACTAATAACCTCCGATTTGCTTTGAATATGAAAACATATAAATATAAAACATAAATATTTTGACATATCAATATTCCCAAGCGTTGATGAATCTTCCTATATTCTTCTACCATGCATAGTTATCATGGTACAAGAATATAGGTAGACGCATCGACACAGCTGCTGAGGCAATGAACTGTCAAACCGATTTTGAAATTGAAAATGTTAAATGAAAAATTATTAAAATTTGTAAAAGTAGTTGAAAATTCATATTATAAAAACCTCCGATTTACTTCGTATAAGTAAACATATAATAATCAAAATATTTTAAACATTTTGACATATCAATGTTCCCAAGCGTTAATGCATCCACCCGTATTCTACCATGATTTCATACAATACCACTGTAAACAACAAACAGAATTGGAATTTTTGTCCCTTTGTTTTTGGACTAATCCTATGGAAATTGGTGGAATATGAGAGAATCGTTTCGTTGTTTGACATATCATTTTTTAATTTCCATCGAGTCGAAAAGGTCACTGCCCAACAAATGCGTAATATCTGACAAAATAAAATGCATATCGTAGGTATACAACTCCTTTCTAATTTTGTATAGGGAGACTTACAAACCGCTCTTCAATTTGCAATTCGACCGAATTGTAATTAGGAATTTGTTCGGCAGGAATAATCATTTTTATACCCCCCATCTTTAAAAGGAGGGTATATTAACTTTGTCATTACGTTTGTGATATCCATAAATATTCGTCGTAGACCCCATAAAGTACATATATTCATGATCAGCATAAAATTCTAAGTCGATTCAATGATGTCCGTCTGTCTATCTGTCTGTCTGTTGAAATCACGATACAGCCCACGTAGAGCTTTAAAATTTGTATTATGTCTAGGATGGTTGGTATTGAAAATGAGATATATCGGTTCACGTTTTGGTATAGCCGCCATATAACGGTACATCCCGATATTCGGTATTTCGATGATTTTAGCGACATTATCACTGGAATTGTTTAAAATTTGGTATTTGAAGTTCCTAACGGATACTACAGCTTGTGACAGAAAATTGTCTGTGCAGGTGCACGTCTTTGTATAGCCCGCATACAACGGTACTTCCCGATATTCGGTACTTTGATGATTTTAGTGACATTATTCACCGGAATTGTTTCAAATTTGGTGTCTGAAGTGCGTAACGGATTATACAGCCTATAACAGAAAATTATCTGTGCAGGTCCACACATCTGTATAGCCCATATATAACGGTACCTCCCGACATTCGGTACTTTAATGATTTTAGTGACATTATTCACCGGAATTATTTCAAATTTGGTATTTGAAGTTCGTAATGGATACTACAGCCTGTGACAGAAAATTATCAGTGCAGGTCCACGTCTTCGTATAGGCCCCATATAACTGTACCTCTCTATATTCGGTATTTTGACGAGTTTAGGTACAATACCCACCGATACTGTTTGATATGTCTTATTTAAACTTCGTAATGGATGGCACAGCCTAAGACAGAAAATTGTCTGTGCAGGTCCACATTTTGGTATGGCCCCATATAATGGTACCTCCCTATTTTCGATTTTTTTCCAGGTTTCTCATTTTAATATTATGATTAAATTTGCCTTTGCAGGTCCACATCGTCGCAGTTAAATTGCCAAATTTGTTCCAAATGGTGGAGGATATTTAAGTTTCAGACTGGCCGAACTTACAGCTTAGTTCATTTCATTCTATAAAAATGTTGAAATAGTCTTCGCATATACATACATGATTTTTTAAATAATTTCGTCCCGTGGGTTTAACTGGCATGTGACTGTATGGCTTTACTTTCTTAATTCTACCATGGGGTGGAGGTTATGTAATGTTTTTACTTGTCTTTTTATGATATTGAAATAAATTGCAAAAAAACATAGTATAATTACAGAAGGAAGAGCAAATCTATCCCCCATATACAATTTTTTTGGGTGCCTTTATTCTGTCAAAATATATACACACTTTGTGTATGTGTGTGTAATGTTTTGGATTTAGAGAAAACAAAACATATTTTCCACGTCAACAAGCAACAAAATGTATAATTTTGGGATAAAACAATATTGTCCATATATCTTGGATTCAATTTCGTAAGGAAACCCCAATATTGAATTCATGTTTTGTGGGTTTTCCCCAAATGTATTAATCATGGTACAATGAAGAGAAGGTAGGTCAACTTTGAAAAAATTGCAAGTATAGAGGTCTACCTGTTTGGCTTGTAATGTCAAAATTAGTATCAAAACAATAAAAAAATCAAACAACTTGTTGCATTTATTTTGAATAAGTAATTGAAAACCGCGATAACTGAATGAAAGGTCAACACCTCTTTTCAAAATCATATACTATATATCTCTAAAGGATTATTTCGCTACAAAAACTCTAGATTTTGTAGATGCATACGTTGAAATAAACATTTTGAAAACATCCGAATTTGAATATTTTCTGAACAATTTTTTTGTTATTGAAAAGAAAACACATATATAAACAAATAAAGATGACATATTAAGCCAAGAAAATAAAAAAATTAAAATCATATGGTATCATAACCCTACCTCGATATCATTGTACCATGGTATTAATGTTGTGAAAAAATGTAGAATAGACAAAACCAATTGTTGCATGTTTAACAGTTTATTTGACACTATAAGACTTCCGTACAGATTTGCATTTTCCTAGTTTCTTTGAAGTTGAACAATCTTATAGAGCCATGAAATAAGCTTTTCAATGACGATATTACAATAGTTTTTGCAACTGTCGGAACGCCAGCATCGGTATTTTGACATTTGATATATGAACACAGTTGTCTTGGCTTTTGTAAATACACGGTAAATGTTTGTTTTTCAAAAATGTTTAAAAAACCTACAGTTGCAGATATCTCTAAAAAATATTTTTTAAAAATGACACATTTTGAATTATCTTTCAAAGATATTTTTAAAATTACACGTTGCCATCTCTGGCAATTCAAAAGAAAAATATATTAATCGATACTCTTTTCTAGGGTAAAGTATCGATACTATCGATATCGCGATTGGTTCTTTGCCAGCTCTAATGGAACGAATAAGTAAATAATATCATTTTAATCGCGAGAATTGGTACGTTTTGGTCTGTGCGGAAGATTGGCAAAATTTGTTCATTAAAGAATTAAAGAATATGAAATAAATTGAAAATAATTTAAATGTGTTTCGAAATCTATTGGTAATACAACAAAAATTTTAAATAAATACACGGTCATAGAAATTGTGGTGTTTGAAATGTTTTGGTCCGGGAAGAAGTGAAGAAGAACTTGTAACCTTTTATGACATTGAGGCCAGACTAGGCCTGCCAGCCAGCAAACAACCAACCAATCAGTAACATCATCATCAACATCAAATAATCAACGCGCTGGGACGTCTATTATTTCGTTCTCCTACAAAAAATATACGAACAAAATTCCAATAACAAAGAATAATTAATGAAAGAAGATTAAGTTCTATGAAAAGTGTTCTGCAAATATATAAAAAATCTGTGAACTGCAAGTGAATGAAGAAATGCCACCGAAGACACAACACAAGAAGAAGATAATTAACAAAAGTGCATAAAGTAGAATGCATAAAGAAAAATTTATAATGCAAAAGAGAATGCAATAAGAAGATTGTGTTGTGTAATCAAAAAGATTTTGCAACTGTAAAAAAAGAAGAAAATAAAAAACAGAAACATAGAACGCCACCATAAAATTGTACTAATAAACAAACCCACCGCCGCAACACGATACGACGAGACGCACGGCACGCGATTTCTTTTGTTTACAAGAAGGGCAGCGTGCGTGTAAATCCCCACGCTTTTCACCCAAATTCCAAGCAACAAACAGTTGACGACGACGTTAACCACACGTACATACATACAGATGTCTCATTGAAAACCAGAAAAAACAAAGTCCATTGGAAATTTCCACTCTCTGCACACTCTTGCCCCAAAAATTTCCAAAAAATTACAACAACATCATCATAAAACATCAGACAGCAAAGATAAACAAACACAATACAACACAACGTCAACAAGACACAGGAGGACAACGACTTGGAAAAATTTTGACCTTCGTTCTTTTGGGTAGTGCTTAGGAAATTCTCTGCACCGGTCCGGCCATTCAATTCTATAAAAAAAAATATTTTCAAATAATTTGTAAAGTGACAAATAATATTCAAGAAATACCATAAACATCTAAGTGAGAGAGAAAGTTCGACCATTGTGGTTTTCATTTGTTGATTTATAAACAACCATCAAAATACCACCAGTTATGGCTAAGGACGAAGAAGATGATTTGTTGCCCGATAAAGATGCCGCCAAAGGTTTCTATGCTAAATATGAGCCCAAAGAAATATTGGGAAGGTAAGTAAATAAAAAATTGAAAACATGAAGTAAATTCCAAATATTTGTAGGAAATTTTCCAACTTGAGGCATTTGTTTGTGTTACACCCTTAAACGAATGGAATGGAAATTTTTTTTGGTGTGTAAACAAAACACCTCCACCCAAATGGAAAATTTTTGACAAATATGTTCGCAAGAAGGCCGCGCGGTCGCCGGTTGTTTTTGTCGTGTGGCTAAGGCAGCACCACATTGCATCAGAATGTCGTAATCAGTAGAGATATGTCAGCCATTGCTGGAAGTCAAAATTTTAGTTGAGACCTAGTCCATGATGTATTTGATTGCTGTAGCCAAATATGACTAGATATTTTGCCATTGTGACCGGTGATGTTAATTGATGTTGTGGTGAAGGTGATGAAATTCAAAATTGAGAAGTTTAAAATGCGATAAATAGCAACTGAAGCGATTTTGAAAACCTGACTTCAGTCACACTACTTGAGGTAAAATATGTATCTATAATTTGGTTTTTTGCATTCAAGATGGAAATGGGGATATAACTGCAACTTAAAGTGCGTATTGAAGAAAATATGCAAAATATGATGAAATTCAATTTGAAGATATCCTTTCACTACAACAATATCAAGGGTTTAGTTAAGCGTATACACAAACCTGGCAAGCCAAGAGACAAATTAGGGATTTTCACGTATAAAATCTTCCTTTTTACCTACTATACTTTACGTTTAAAAAAATGATTATAGACGTGTGTACAACTCAACTTGTTCCTAAATATCTTTGGATCGACACACTTTTCCAGCTTAACGAATTAGCCAGTTGTTGAGTAACCGGTATGGTTGGCCGAGGTTGAAGAGTTTCAAAAGGATTCAGGCTACATAAGACTGTGACCTCAATGTTTAGAGTCTTGGAACTAATTCGCCGGTTTTTCTTCGTCAGTTTTCTTACCTTTTTACTCTCAGCATTTCGTGTTCTTATTGTTCACTAGGATCTCAGTTTAGTAACATATTCTAAACTATTTGATATACAACCACTGTAAGAGTAAACTTTAACTCTCTTCTTTCATCTTGGATCCGTCTGTATTTATGAATATGATAATATGAGAAACATTAGCTCTATTCCAGAATAGTAAGCATGTAACATGTATTACTACGATTCCTTATGATGATACTCATCAATTGACTTAATTCCAGTTTTTTCGAATTGGTCACCTTTGGCACGAATTATGGCCTTCAAATGGCCAATGAAACCGTCACACGCTGCCCGAATGTTGCTCTGCGGTATTTTGGACCATTCCCGGTGAAGCGCTTGCTTGAGGTGATCGACACTTTGGAAAGCAACTCTTTAGGTCTTTTGAGTCTATCTTCTTTCTGTTGCGGTGTAATTTCTTGCACTTTTTGTAATTTTAATGGCTTTACCCGAATGGAATATTGCGATATGTTCAGCTCACGAGCCATTTTCGGCCACTGCGACGCGGGTTTCTTTCTCATCGGAGAAAGTCAAATTCGGCAGTTGACCGCTTCCGGCAAAATTAAGCAACTTTTTAGCTATTTTCAGTCCATTTTCATTCAGATGCGGTGTAAGTTCTTGCACTTTTTGGAACTTAAATGGCTTTACCCCGAGCTCATTTTTTTAAGGTTTGCCAAATGGAATATTGCGATGTATTCAGCTCACGAGCCATTTTCGGCCACTGCGACGAGGGTTTCGATCACGTCGCTTATTTACTTTTGGAACCATTTCTGCTGATGTTGCTGTTTTCTTCCGTCCACTTTCTTGACGTCGGGCTACGTTTTTATTCACATTTAAATGCTGGAGTGCTCTAACAATAGCCACTTGTGATTTTCCCGCCAAATATAAATAAATCACACTATCATGCTTGAATTCCACCATGAATAACTTTTTTTCTGGAAAATGCTCACCAAAATGCTTTTGTACGCTTGTAAACAATATAATGGGCTTTCACTGGAATAATTTTAACAACTGTCGGACGATTGGCTTGGAAATGTCAGCAGTCTGAAGTTGGTTGCAGGTTTTTCATCTCACCCTGTATATTCCTGTTAAAGTGTGTTGTTATCACACCATCCAGAAGAGACGTAGTTAGCTCTCGCTTTCTGTTGGATTGACCACCAAAGTCTTTCTTGAATAACCTTGTTTATCAGCAGACGCAATAAATGTCTCTTTTTTGGCATTCCTCTGCTTATAGATTTTCTTTTCAGAACCTCACTACTTAATCATTCAGACCGTCTTGATATTTTGTTAACGTCAACCTTTAGTGTTGCACAGTGCATTTTACCAAACGTTTTTTTTTGTTTATTATAATTGGGTTTAGTTAGCACCGGAGTTCTACAATCCCATTGTAGTGGTGTTGCGTATTGCGTATTCCTCCAAAAATTGTTCTTGTAATGAGTCGTCTCAACCTACTGAAAAATATAACTGGATGATTCACCAGATTTTTAATTACGATCTGTAAAAAATATGCAACAAGAAAAATTGCAATAGGTGCAAAAAAGTTTTGAAATAACGTTCTCTCAAATAATTACTCAGCAAAAACTGATGTGCCTTGAATGAACTATGATGATTAAGAGTTTTGATACTTTAAAATTGAAGCACAATATCTCTTTCAACTGACAAAATAATTATTCACAGATACCATTGTTGTACAAAACAGAAAAGAAATAGAATAATAATAATTAATTCAAATATTTTATTTCAATTCAAGTGTAAATTAGAATTAAAAATTGTATCTAATTATATGGGATATCGAAAAAATCAATTTTAAATTTATTTTTATAGCCAAGTAAGCACATTCTCAACACATTTTTTTGCAATTCAAAATCAATTTATTAAACATTTCAAATGTTTGCAAGGAAAAATGAAATAAAAAACAATAAAACGCATACCGTTTTGCTTCGTTAAAGATTAGAAAAGTTTTAAGTGGCACTAATAGAGAGACAGACAGATGGTCAGTCAGTCGGTCGGTCGGTGAAAAGGCTATAAAACTGAATAGACGACGGTTTGTCATATTATTAAACACACTCAGTTTGATTGGTATCAAAGGCACGCTTGTGGGGCGCGTCTATTTGTTTGTCTCCATTGTATTGACGTTTTTTCGTGTTTATTTTTATTATTTTCAAAAAAAGTAAATAAATAAGTTAATAGCAAAGATAACACACGATCATGAAAAGCATAAATAGAAGTAAATACAAATGATTTGATTTTAAATGCGGGCATCATGAAATCGTAAAATAATTCTAATAATTAAAAGACAAATCAAATGGTGTATAATTATTTGATTTTTTCTTCCACCTTACTATTGAGTCATGGGTACTATATTAAAACACGTGCAACTAAAAATACCATTTTTTTTTAAATTTTATAATGAGAATGACCCCTTACTAAATACAATATGAATAGCTCAACGGCATACAAAGAAAATGTTTCGAAATCAATTCGATTGGATGCAATCCAATTGAATGTTAAAACCCTTGTATATACATACATTTTTTAATTTAGACATTTGTCATCACCATTGTTTGTCTTTTATCTCTGGTGTTTCTTTTATTTTTTAGCGTCACTGCATTTTTGTCGAATCACAGAAAATTAGCTTTTCAATCAATACAATGATCGACATAATCTTACAGTTTTCCCCCATACATAGCTTCCAAAGCAATTTCAGTTCATTTTGGACTTTGCAACTCTTGAAGAAGAACAGAAAACAACAATAACAACGATTGCTGTTCTTGTACTATGTTTAGTACTTAAATAAACGTACATATATAGAATAGACCGACCTTATCTCATTTTTAATACGTTATCGTTATGTCTGTTTTGTTCCGTACTTAACATTTGCTTAATGAGACATTGACCCACTCACTAACCCAATATAGTGTGACACGTGACGTAAATTTTATTGTTTTTGGGGATTTTTTGGCGTTGTTATTTTTGGGAAAAATTTCGTCAAATGAATACAAATGGAGAAATAAAGTGATCTATGGCCACCAAAAATCGATTATTACAATAGATTAGATCAATACAATAAATTATTTATATTTTCGTATACTATCTAGTATAGTTAATCCCCTATAAATGGAGTGGGAGACCTTGAAATTATTATAACAAATTAATAAATTTTAGTACTATTCCAGATAAACAGAAATAGAAGAAGAAGGTCATGGATTTGCATATTCTGTGCATCAAAAAGATGATTACAAATTAAATGTAGTCTTTCCAGACAAGATATGTTGTAACCAAAGGCAATATGAACTCACTTTAAAGTGAGAGTCTTTCTGATTCACATGTTTCTCTTCTAGATGATGACAATTGAGCCTTTTCATGGCTAAATGAACATGTGTCACTCAGGATATAGAGTGTAAAGGCCTTATCTCGCGATTGTTATTATTTTTAATTTAGTTTAATTTAAATTAGTAGATTTTTTCAGTTAACAATTTTTGCACTCTCCTTTACAACCAATTTATTACTGTAACTAGCAAAACTTACTTTTTAATGTAAAATATTTCAAGAATGTCAAGAAAAGACAATTTCGAAGAAGACTAGATACCAGGGTCTTCTTGTGGTAATAATTTCCACGTTGTTAATTGGTTAATCTCGAATCGGAAGGATCTCTGCTACAATACAAAGTAGTTGCAATCCATCTTGAAGTAGGAACTTGTCCCTTCTTCCATCTTGGATCTGTAACATGCCGAACAGAAGCAGGGGATTGCGGTCAATATAGTCTCTGCTAGCAAAAAAAGGAATAACTGTACTATAGTATATCTGTATGAAGAAGATTAGAACATATTGTAAAATATGCAAAAAAAAAAAAAAAACATTTTAGAGGCTGCCCGGGCCACCCACCCTGTGTACGTCCCTGGCGTATTTGTATTTTGAGTGTTACGATTCTATTTCCAACCTAGTCAGCTGTATTTTCACATTAAGGGTTCTGTGTGAGTAGATTCACTCCTCGCAAAAAAATATTCATTGAAGGTCCACTCTTTGGTATAAGACCCATTTGA